CATGTAGAGGTGGGACTGGGACACTATAGCTCGAATCTCGGTCAAAGTCAGCCTCCCGATGACGAGATTGAAAGATGAAGCCATTTTCACTACGAGGAATCTGATTGAGGGTGTTACATACGTCCGTCTGGAGCTGATCGCCACGTTGAGCTGCAGCACTCCTTCCACGGGTACCGGCTGGTTATTGAACCCGTAGATGGGCCCGTCATACTTTTGCAGGAGGGCAGGGTCGAGTCCGAGGCTCTGAAAGCAATGGTAATACATTATATCTGGGGCACTGCCGGTGTCGATGAGCGCTCCCTGGACCTCGCAGTTGTTAATGACGACCGAGGTGACTAATGGATCACTATGGGGCGTGACGACTCCCTCGAAGTCAGCCGAAGTGAATGTCACAGACTGGTTTTTCCAATCCTCCTCGTCAATCTTTCTTTTCTGAGCTGTATTGTGGTGCTTGACCTCCCTCACGTACAACTTCTGCTGTTTGGAGCTTGTGCCTCCTACTTCGGGCCCACCAGTTATCATGTGAATGACTCTGGATGGGGGTGGGAGAGGTGGCGGTGCTTGTTGATAGCCTACCCCATCTCTGTTGTTTGCTGCTCGGGATCCCTGGGCTTGTTCCTGTTCTTTGACAAACTTTGGCAAACCTCTGCTCTGGATGTATTCATTCAACATCCCTTTCCGAGCCAAGCTTTCGAGCTCGGACTTCAAACTGTGGCAATCTTCCGTGGTATGCCCATGATCTTGGTGAAAGTCACAGTATCTGGTGTGGTCTCTGCTTGTTGCTGGGCTCCGTAAGGGGCCTGGTCTCCTCAGCTCCATCTTATTCTTGATTTGCATGAGAATTTGCGACCTCGGAACTGTGAAGGAGGTCCATGAGGGTTGCCTATGTTGCGCTTGCGGGGCGCTGGAGCCGGGCCTGTCTAGCTTGGGAACCGGAATTGGGCCTCTGTTCTGTGTGGGTTTGAACTTTTTTCTGCTCTGCCCTTCTTCTCTCCATGCAAGAGTTCTAGCTTCTTTGGGGGGCTGGGGTTTGGAAAGGACGTACTCTTCGGCCTTAATGAATTTGAGGGATCTCTAATTGACTTCATCAAAAGTGGTTGGGGTGTTCTTGATCAAGTTATCTCGAAATCGATCATGGTTGAGGCCTTGT